GCAGTACTGTAGGTACCTCTCCTGCAGCTGCTGGGAGGAGAGGGCTCCTCCAGGTGTAGCACGCTCAGGCTCAGCACCCCCAGACTCAGCACCCCCAGGCTCAGCACCCCCAGGCTCAGTACCTCCAGGCTCAGCACCCCCAGACTCAGCACCTCCAGGCTCAGCACCCCCAGGCTCCGCACCTCCAGGCTCCGCACCCCCAGGCTCCGCACCCCCAGGCTCAGTACCCTCAGACTCCTCACGGTCAGGCTCAGCACCCCCAGCAGGACGAGAGTCAACAGCTACCTCGACAGGCTCAACCGGGTCTACCTGGGACACACCTGAGGGAGCGGCACCCTGAGGGGGGAGGGGGTCTGGTACCTCAGCACCTGGAGCGAGGAAGAGAGGCGGGGGGGGGAGCGGGGCAGTGCGGTAGGGGAAGAGGCGGTAGTAGGGGACGGACTCGTCAAAAGTGACGTCCTGAGAGGCCAGGACACGACGCGAGGTGGGGTGGTAGAACTGCCAACCAGGGGCGTCCGGGACAAAGCCAAGGAAGACACAGGGGACAGCTCGACGGGAGAGCTTGTCCGCGGACGTATCGCGAACAAAAGCTCGAGATCCCCAGACCCGAAAACGCGACGCATCGCCAGCCTCTCCCGTCCAACGCAGTGTCGGAGAGGTCTCCGGTAAGGAGACACGGGGCCAGAGGTTGAGCTGATGCGCAGCGTATCGGACCGCAAACGGCCACAGAAAGTGGGGGGCAGCCGCATGAACTAAGGAGGTACGAGCGACCTCCATGACCAAGCCAATGCGGCGCTCAGCAACCCCATTCTGCTGTGGAGAGGCCGGAAGCGTGAACGACTGCTCAATGCCCTCCTGCTGACAGAAGGCCTCCAAGAGGCCAGAGGAAAACTCCCCACCTCTGTCAGAGTGCAGACGCAGGACAGGGAAGTCGGAGCGGAAACGCTCACTGAGCTGGAGACGAGATCTGCGGATCCAAGGGATCAAGACATCAGGGACGTCACCCTTGGTGCGCAAGGGGAAGACCGTGGTGTAGCGCGAGAAGTCGTCAACAACAATCAGGAAGTACCTCTCCTGACCCTGACCATGGACGCGGGCTGGGCCCCACACGTCCACGTGGAGCGTCTGCAAAGGAGCAGTCGTCGGGGGGAAGGAGGAGGAGTGAGGAGCGGCTCGCTGCCGCCCCTCGACACAGGGAAGACAGGGAGGAGCAGGCGAGGGTGGGAGGGGAGGGAGAACCCTGGGAAGACCAGCAACAAGGTCCCGTTTGTGCATGGCCCGAAGGCGCTGCACAGACGGGTGACCAAGGCGGTGGTGCCAGAGGACAGTCTCATGCGCCAGAGAGCGACACGAGCAGGGGGCGGACAGCTGACCTGACGCAGACGCAGATGCGGACGCAGCTACCTGAGGGGACTCAGTGGTCAGTGTGTACAGGTCCGACCCCGGCTGCCGAGTGAAGGTAGCCAGGTGACGGCCCGTCCGAGCACACGTGCAGTGGGTCACGCGCTCGTAAGCAGGGGTGAACTGGTGAACACCCCCGTCCTGGAGCGCACTACCTGCCACCAAGTTCGTAGAGAACGAGGGGAGGTAGAGGCCTGACAGTGTGCCTGACGGGACCGCAGGACAAGGAAGGACAGTGGAGGAGGTCGCAACGACCGGACCCCCAGAGGGGTCAGCGAGGGAGACAGCAACTGGCCGAGCAAGCGGCTCAAGGACAGTGCGGTCACGAAAGAAACAGCGAGAAGCACCTGAGTCCAGTGTGAAGGTGTGCAGTGCTGCAGTCGACTCAGTACCAGAGGGCACGGACTCACTAGCACCTAGAGCAGCAGCCTCACCAGGACCTGGGGCAGCAGACTCACTAGCACCTAGAGCGGCAGCCGGACTGGTCAGAATGCCCGGGTCGGGCGGAACACGCAAGTACTGAGCACCCTCTCCACTAGTAAACATCGCATACATGGCAGTGAGAATAGCATCAAAGTCTAAAGCCCAGATATCAACTCCCTTCTTCTCCAGATCAGCCCAGTGGGGCAGGTCAGTGGCATCAGGAAACTGGGCACGCCACGCGTCAGTAAGGCGCGCGAAACAGCGCTGTGTGGGATGCGGCCTCCCACACTGCTGGCCAGTGCGGTCACCAGTGCGAATGACGTACGTGCAGGTAAAGCCACGCTGCGCATACCACTCACGGGCGGCCTGAAGCGACGGGGCGGGCTGCTGACTCTGTCCACCGCCAGCGCCTCCACGACCACCACCGCCGCCGCCACCGCCCCGGCCACCTCCACCCCTGCCGCCGCCACGACCACCTCCGCCTCCGCTGCCGCCTCCGCCCCTGCCACCGCTCCCGCCGCTGCTGTCACCACCCCCACTGCCGCCACTAGCCTCTCCAGTCCCACCGCCACCCCCACCGCCACCACTCCCGCCTCCCCCGCCGCCACCTCCACCCTTGCCCCCTTTGCCCCTGCGGCGCCCGCTCGGAGCAGACGCAGCCCCGACCTTCTCAGCACCAAGGAGGTCGACAGCAGCAGCAGAGGCGACAGAGGGGAGGAGAGGGGAAGGGGAACACCCCTCAAAGAACGGGGTGCGGGGGTCGCCACGAGAGGTGCCTACAGCGACGATGCTCGCCTCAGCTGCAAGCAATTCCTTCTCGAGGAGGGCAATGGTGAGCTCAGTGGGAGAGCGAGCGAGGAAGTGATCCCTGACTGCGCGCAGAGAGTCAGGGAGGCGGGTGACGATGTGGTAGAGAGTGATCCAGAGCGGGGGGGGGTTGGTGGCAAGGAACTCGTCAGGCATAGCAGCGCGAAAGCGGGCCTCACTGGTCCTGAGGTGGGTGATGAGGTCAGCGACTGTGCTGAAGGAGGCCAGGTCGGGGAACAGGTATGGGAGGGTGAGGCGGCCTAGTGCGGCAGAGGCAGGTGAGGAGTAACGAGCAACGACAGCAGTGTACAGGTCCTTAGCAGTCTTGTGCTGGCCAAAGTGCTCGCGCTCATCTAGTGGCAGGGAGTTGCGAATAGCGAAGCGAGCGTGGGCGTCACGAGTCTGCCACTGTGAGCGCTGAGTGCTGTCTGCAGTGGTAGGAGGGGCAGTAGCGTGACCGAGGGCATGATCGTACAGCGAAATATCCTCCTTGGCAGTGAGCTGTAGGAAGAGGTGCAGGTCATCTAGCCAGGTGTCAAATTTCACTGGGCGGCCCTCAGCATCGAAAGCAAGTACGGGAGGACTGGCCATAGTGGCAGCAGTAGTTGCAGTAGGAACAGTAGTAGTAGCCGTAGAAGAAATAGGAGGAGCAGCAGTATCGACGGGGCTGCTGGTACGGGCGGCGCGGCTCGGTCTGACGGCGCGGCTCGGTTCAGGTAGGGCGGCGCGGCTCGGTTCGGTTGCGCGGAGCTGTTAAGCGGGGCTCGACGGGGCCGAGGGGCCGCTAAGCGGGGCGCAGGAGGGTCGCGGGGCCGTGAGGTGGCGGGCGACGGGGCCACGGGGCCGCTAAACGGGGTGCGCGCGGGGCCGCGGGGCCTCTAGTTGAGGGTCGACGGGGCCGCGGGGCCGCTAAACGGGGTGCGCGCGGGGCCGCGAGGCCTCTAGGTATGGGGCGACGGGGCCGCGGGGCCGCTAAACGGGGTGCGCGCGGGGCCGCGGGGCCTCTAGGGTGGGTCGACGGGGCCGCGGGGCCGCTACACGGGGTGCGCACGGGGCCGAGGGGCCTCTAGGGTGGGTCGACTGGGCGGCGGGGCCGCTAAACGGGGTGCGCGCGGGGTCGACGGGGCCAAGCGGGCCGGAATCGGGGCGCGCGCGGGTGCGACGGGGCCACTAAGGGGCAGCGTGCGGGGTCGACGGGGCCTTAAGGGGCCGTACACGAGGGCGCACGAGGGCGCTGAGGGGGAGGCGCTAACGCAGCACTCCGACAGTAGGTAGGAAGTAGGTAGTAGAGGTGGGCCCGGAAAAAAAAAAAAAAAAAACTTAGGTCCTAGCGAAGGACCTGCTCTGAAACCATGTCAGAATAACTGAACGAGGAATGAATGAACTAGCAGTGAAACGAGTACAAGTACCTAACCCTAGAATTGTGTACCCCCTATAGGCTAACCCACTGTAGCCTAAACAAGCACAACACATATAATGTTTGACACTAGCATCATTGGTCATCGGCCCTTGAGAATGAAGAGCGCCCGCTGCACTTCCTCCACATGTGTGGATCCTAGCGCGTTTTGAGGCCAGAAGCGCTCGCAGTGAGCGTTTTTCTTCTACCACGTCACGTGGCTGCGCTTGTTTAGGCCTCTTGCTAAGCCAGCAAGGGCGTGGAAGGGTTGCGAGCATCATTGGTCATCGGCCCTTGAGAATGAAGAGCGCCCGCTGCACTTCCTGCACATGTGCGGATCCTAGCGCGTTTTGAGGCTAGAAGCGCTCGCAGTGAGCGTTTTTCTTCTACCAGGTCACGTGGCTGCGCTTGTCTAGGCCTCTTGCCAAGCCAGCAAGGGCGTGGAAGGGTTGCGAGCATCATTGGTCATCGGCCCTTGAGAATGAAGAGCGCCCGCTGCACTTCCTGCACATGTGTGGATCCTAGCGCGTTTTGAGGCTAGAAGCGCTCGCAGTGAGCGTTTTTTTCTACCAGGTCACGTGGCTGCGCTTGTCTACGCTTGCTAAGCCAGCAAGGGCGTGGAAGGGTTGCGAGCATCATTGGTCATCGGCCCTTGAGAATGAAGAGCGCCCGCTGCACTTCCTGCACATGTGCGGATCCTAGCGCGTTTTGAGGCTAGAAGCGCTCGCAATGAGAGTTTTTCTTCTACCAGGTCACGTGGCTGCGCTTGTCTAGGCCTCTTGCCAAGCCAGCAAGGGCGTGGAAGGGTTGCGAGCATCATTGGTCATCGGTCCTTGAGAATGAAGAGCGTCCGCTGCACTTCCTGCACATGTGCGGATCCTAGCGCGTTTTGAGGCTACTCGCAGTGAGCGTTTTTCTTCTACCAGGTCAGGTGGCTGCGCTTGTCTAGGCCTCTTGCCAGGCCAGCAAGGGCATGGAAGGGTTGCGAGCATCATTGGTCATCGGCCCAGTGGCTCACGCGGTGGAGGATGTGCGGAGGGAGGTGGCGATAATGAAGCTGCTGTCGCGCCATCCCAACGTGGTGCAGTTCATAGACGTGTTTGAAGACATTGACTTCGTGTACATCTGCATGGAGTGAGTGCACTATGTTATATCGGATATGGAGTGACACTATAGCGGGTATGGAGTGTACTGAGATAATGAAGCTGCTGTTGGGCCACCCAACGTGGTGCAGTTCGTAGACGTGTTCTTATGAGGCCAGCAGACAGCCCTGTGGAGCTAGCGCAGGCACGGCAGGCACAGGCGCGGGCGGTGCAGTGGCTGGGCAAGTGGGCGGGTCGGACGGCATGGGCGGCATGGGCGGTATCATAGACGGCACGGGCGGCATGGGCGGTATCGTGGACGGCGGGGTTCGGTGGCCTTCTGACAATGGCTTTGGTTTTGACGCGTGTGTTCAGCCGCCTGTGTACAACACAGATGCTGAGGAGAATCAGTGCGGGGGGCGCGCAGAGGAGTGGCGAGTACGAGACGAGCGAAGGGAGAGGAGACACGAGAGCAGGGAGAGACAGGAGAGCGATGGCAACGGCCTCGAACACGATGTGCATGACGAGTGCGGCACGGAGGATGAGTGGTTGCCTCGGAGCCAGGGCATCCGGAGTGGTTCGACGCCGAACCAGAGGATCAAGCGACGGAGCATGGCGGAGCGGCAGAGGAGGGAGAGGATCAATGAGAAGCTACAGAAGCTGAGGGTGAGGGTGAGGGGGCGAGGGGACACGTGTGCGATGCTGGACAGAGCAGTGGGGTATATGGATGCTCTGGAGAAACGAGTGGTGGAGTTAGAGAGGGTGGTGATGGCGGCTGTTGGCTCTGGGAGGAACGTTTTCCTCGGCAATGCGTTTGCCGGTGGTGGTGCTTTTGCTGGTCGTAGTTTTCCCGGTCGCGGTTTTGCCGGTAACGTCTTTGTGAATAACGCCGCGGCTTTGGCGACGATACCGGCTGCGTTAACATCGGTCCGTGGACTTGGGAGTGACGCTGTTCCCGACTGGCCTTGGGAGTGACTGTGCTCCTTGAGCCATGCTTGACAAAGTCACGTTGGTTTAGGCTTTACGCTGGTGCACTTGAGAAAACCATGGGGGAGTTTGTCGGGTTCTCAGGGTCTTTTTTGTCAGGTTCCAGGGTTTAGGTGCATGTGCATTGGCTCTGATGTACGGTGTACTGGTGTTTGCCTCTGGTGTTTGTTTCCAAATTCATTCTTCAATGCGCTATAGCTATTAAAAGGCTGTTACCCAAGTAGATCTAGCACTTGGGTTGGGTTTTACGAAGTGTGTTGTCGTGTGGAAGAGCATGAGGCGGACCTAGTGGAAGAAAGGGCCTAGGAGGCAAAGGTAGGACAACACACAGAAGAGGAAGGCCATATCAACCAGACAATAAGCTTTGCGTATTTGGCCACAATAAAAGATAACCGCGTGCGACGAACAGATGACAAACCCATCAAGGCACAGGCGTCAAACCCATCATGCGGGGGGCTACACTTAGGACTTTCACTTCGGACTTTCTACTACATTCTGAAGTTGAACCTAATAGCGCGAGCTTCTATACCGCAGCATCCAAATACACAGTGCTCCACCGCGCGCGTATCTTCCCGTTCGGATTCGGGAGTCGCCCACCCTTCCTCTCTCACAACGCCTTGTCGGGGTTCCAGTTCGGTGGGGCCTTGGGCCCAGTGGCTCGCTCCAATCTCTGGCTTTATTCTAGGGTGGATCTTCAAGTATCCATCGCAATCTCGCACCACTCTCCCATCTCATCAGTCACCCATCTCGAAGCATCATAAGAGCGTGTTACACCTGCCCTAATCTCAAGGATCACGTAGCTAAGATCACCATAACCCCAACCCTAGGATTACGAGTGGCAAAACAACAATTTTTGGTGCACATCACAATCCTTGTTGGTGTACCATCTGCAAATTTGCAATGGTGATCCTCTGCGACCAGGCGACGTCGCCTGAAACGACGCGACAGTCGCGATCGTCGGATATTTTTGTTGACCACGTTGACTGCGTTACTGATCCGAAATCAACCGCTTTATTGGTTCGAACTTCATCAAAAGAATGCTCTGATTAGTCGCGATTTTGTTACAGCAGTTCACGACAACAAAAGTTTCGTCATCAAGGATCACCTTGTCTTTGGTACAAAGATGCAAGGATCACCGAGAGATTGGCAGTCACCACGATCTCCCAAAAAACACCAAGATCGGGTATCACGATCTCTCTTGCTTTCGATCCTTCCTCTGTTGGTACATCACCTGACACAGTGATTACTGTACAGTGGTAGGTATGACACTGTTCTGTAAGGATCGCCTACGTGATCCTCAAAATGCAGCAATCTTTGCTTGGGTGTAACACGCTCTAACTCGCACGAGGCGGCCATTTGAACCGCTGCCAGCGCAGCTTTATCCGAATCTCGTTACCCGCTTTGAGTGGACGTCAAGCCATAGAACTGTAGTGCTATTCGCGAGGTCTGAGCCGCTGAGACGAGTAGTGTGGGAGAGTGGAGCCATGTCATCGAACACGTTGTGTGCAACCCACGCGATGGCAGTTGACTGCCGTCAAAAACATGTGCGGGGCGGGAGACTGTCAGCCGACGCTTTTGGCGCTTTTCGCCGTGAGACGCGTCGCCGCAGGTGGAACGTACCCAGCAGATTTCCTCCACGATCTGTTCGCGCCGCGATCGCGGCAGCAAAGCGATACTATACTGTCCGGTTTTCGTTACGATATGATTCGGAGACTTACTTTCCCCCGCAAAGGTCTCTCGCTCCGTCTCCTCGCGGTGCGCAATGTCGGCGGGAGGATGTTTCGCACGATACTTCCAATACAGATTAGTCGAGAAAAGCCGCGGCAGTCGTTAGTAACGCTCCACGAATAGTGACATCGCAAGAAAGGTTTCTATATTTACCAGATCCGCATTTGGAAGCCTCCATGTTACACAAATCCTAAACGATATCTTCCAGGATACCGCTTTGAGTCGTCCCAATCAAGGCTACTCATTTTCTCTACTCTGCTTGAAGTGATACTAACTCTTCACGTGTCTCGTCGCATCGCGCACAGTTACACCATCGTCACACAAAAAATTGTGGGAAATCCATGCCCCAACCATGCTCAAACATGCACTGCGCAATGGCCGTGGTGCCAGTGCTTTAAGTCTATCTCGCGGAATCCTTCTGGCGGGTGGCATTGCCGTGACATTGTGCGGGATCATTGGTTAAAGCCGGCAGCCCAAATTGCACAAGTTTTAAAAGGTTGACGCGAGGGGGTTTTTGTGGTGAGGGTTTTGGCGAAAGATTCCGATTTCGCTTTTTTCGTTTTTTTCGCCAAACCCAGCCCGCCCTCGTATTTCGCCCTGGGGGTTGGTTCAGTTCCCAAAAGTCCCAAATTGCAGGCACGCTTTTCTTCAAACCTTGAAAACACTAGTTCGTCAAGTTTTAAAAGCTTGACCCGCGCGGCCCGCAATTTGGGACTCGGGCTTTAAGGAAACCCCGCCAGGTTCGGAAAGGATTGCTTCATCCGACCTCGAGCATTCGTCATACCCGATTCTGAACCTTGGGACACGTGCGACACTTCTACCACCATCTGCCACACAGTTCGGTACAGCGCAGTACATGACGAGGATAAGAGCGTGTTACACCCAAGCAAAGATTGCTGCATTTTGAGGATCACGTAGGCGATCCTTACAGAACAGTGTCATACCTACCACTGTACAGTAATCACTGTGTCAGGTGATGTACCAACAGAGGAAGGATCGAAATCACGAGAGATCGTGATACCCGATCTTGGTGTTTTTTGGGAGATCGTGGTGACTGCCAATCTCTCGGTGATCCTTGCATCTTTGTACCAAAGACAAGGTGATCCTTGATGACGAAACTTTTGTTGTCGTGAACTGCTGTAACAAAATCGCGACTAATCAGAGCATTCTTTTGATGAAGTTCGAACCAATAAAGCGGTTGATTTCGGATCAGTAACGCAGTCAACGTGGTCAACAAAAATATCCGACGATCGCGACTGTCGCGTCGTTTCAGGCGACGTCGCCTGGTCGCAGAGGATCACTATTGCAAATTTGCAGACAGTACACCAACAAGGATTGTGATGTGCACCAAAAATTGTTGTTTTGCCACTCGTAATCCTAGGGTTGGGGTTATGGTGATCTTAGCTACGTGATCCTTGAGATTAGGGCAGGATTAAGAACCAGAACTGATAGCCAAAACGTGACAACATTGAAGCGTTCTAGAAACGACGATGGTGACGCCTATCATCACACATCCTTAATCACCCCCCCGTTGGTCACACCCCATACAGACATAATCAGAACAGTATAATCGCCCGCTTCAGCCAATACACGCCTATACCCTACTAGCATATAAATTAGTCGCAACCCGCCCGGCAGCACTGTAGCATCTCGCGCAGCGTGTTTCGCGGTGCAATAAACCGCGCCGCGCTCGTATGGTGCAGTCGCCCGCTGGGCCCCAGTCAGACCTTCCTCTAGCGGCTACCATTGTTCGTGTCAAGGTTCAGTGCACGACAAAACCACACAATTTATTCATGATGACCAGCACAAAACATATTGCGGCACAAACACAAGCCAGCAATACACTACTCCGAAACAAGTAAGAAAAAACCACACGAAACAAGCAGAACATACGCAGCTCCCGCTGATGCTAACCAGAAAATAGGGAAACAAGCACCTCCGAACGAACGCCACATGGTTCTGTCCATGCAAATACCCCGCAAAAATTTCTCGCTCTACCCGTCCTCCTCGTCGTCGCCATCCTGCTCGCCCTCACGCGCCGGAAACGGCGCAACAGGAGGGGCCCGTGGAGAGATGTCCTCCAGCCCGTCTTCAGAAATGACTACGGTGCTCCCCTGACGAAACGCCCACGCACGTACGTTGCTGTCCCACCACGGCCCGTCTGTGGCATTGCCGGTTAAAATGCTCTGACGAGCCCACGCCACCACGCGCTCGTGGTACCAGTGTACCCCCTCGTCATTTTGGGGCGCCGAACGCGGCATCTGAGTGCCGTTGATGAGCGGAAACTCCACCTGCATGGGTAGACCCAAGAATGTGAGCCCAATGTTACATATCCGCCCTACAACCATCGCCTAGTCCGTGCGCGCCTTCAGCTACTAGCACGGTATACACACTCACCCCGTATAGCCAGAAGGCTACTACATAGGTGCGCAGGACAAGCGGCGCAGGTGAAGCGCAGCGGAAAGATTTGTAGATCCCCCTCTCGAACGACGCTGACGCGAAGGGGAGGCCATCGCGTCGATGCCAGGGCATTAGCTGATGTGTGCCCAGTTCTGCATAGGCGCCCGTGAATACCCCCCACGTACACACACAATCGGATTAACAGGGGTTACCGCACAACCTAGGTCACGCAGCGCGCGAATTTGACGGGGTATGCCGAGCTAATCTAGTGTTTTACCTGCGCGATGCCGCCCAATGAACTCCTGTCGGGTAATAGATGCTGCGCGCGCCGACCGTAATGTCCGCAGGCAGCGCCACGCGAGAGAACGCTGGCGGGTCATACGGCAGTCCCTCCAGGACGTATACATACGCTCGTCCCTGCTCCCACCGCGTGTTGCGATACACCTGCATCTTCCGGATAAACCATCCGGAGCGAGCAGGGTCGTTCGTCCACACCAGATGAAGCATGTGTCGCTGAGCCCGTGTGCGCAGACGAAGAGCCCGGGCGAGCACAGCCTCGATGAGCACCGTGGACGGCCAAAACGTCATGCGCTGTACACGTGTGGAGTAGACGAGCAGCGCAATCCCTTCCTTAACAGCGTCCTGACGGTGAGCAGCATGGAATTTGTGAGTCATAAGCACAAATAACCGAACATTGAAAGGTCCTCAGCATGGCCAAAATGACCGAATCGTTAACACCAGCCCCCCATATAATACCTTCAGCCCGTTTAACAGGCCTGGGATGAACTTGTTGGCGGTTTCCAGCGTCTCTGCCCATATAACCAGCTGGTCAGTGGGCGGGCCATCCCTGCCACGAACAACCACAGTCTCCCTGGCGAGTGCGGCTGTTACGAAGGGAGTGTGTTCCGCCTCGCGCTGTGGCGCGCGTCCTGCGGCATTGTCCTGGCGGACGCGCTGGCGAGTAGTGGTTGTCGTCCTATTGCGCTGCCCGTGATTGTCGGCGTCCCCTTCTCCGACGTCTCCGGTGCCGCTGCGCTGTGCCTCACGGAGACGTGCGTTGAGCTCGACAATCTCGCGCTCGCGTTCCCGCAGGCGCGCAGCAAGGGCCGTGTTCATGCCCGGGCCCGGCCCCGCACCTTGCGCGACGCGAGGGGCGTTGACACTGCGCGTCGCAGCCACCGTGGGTCCACGTCCGCCCGGCGTGGAGACGGCGGGAGTCACAGGTGCCGCGTGGCTAAGCTCCGTGACATTGCGCTGCCTGGACCTCGCCGCTGTCAACACACGAGACGAGTGTGAGTATGGAATGCTAAGGTTGTATACCACGACTTGCGCTATATGAACACACCTTCAGCATCTTCGTCCACGAAGTCGGTTTGCTCCTCTTCAACATGCTCTGTCTCTATGCCTTCGTCGTCTTGATTTGCCGCCCACGTTGCGTAACCCGTCCCAGTCGCGGTGCCCGTCGTTTCCTCGTCGGACTGCTCGCCGGGCGAGGGTGCGGCCCCCGGAACGCCCGCGGCCTGAACTTCTCGCGACGCGGGCCCGTAGTACAACATGTCCTCGTCAGCCGTGCGCCTTCCCGCGTTTGCCCGTCCCGTGCGTCTCGTTGGCTCGTACGGTGACCGTGCTGACTCCATCCTTGCGATACCTACGACAATGCAAGGTGTGCCTTCAGGAGAATGACGCATGGCTTGCACATGGGTTGTTTAAATAGTACGGCTAGTAGCCGTCTGGTTCGGGGTTTGCAAACCCTTACCCCCCTCTCCCTCTCCATGGTCCTATCCAGACGATGAATGCAACAATACGTCTATCCCCCCTGTATAGCGTGTACACACGTCACCACCGACCCCCCGCTCGTCAGCACACGATATCTCATGTCATGATGGCGCGAAAGCTGTCAAGGTCCGTGACGCCTTATCCGGATACACACAATACGCTGTCAGCATGGGTGCAAGTATCTGACGTCAACCAGATTTTTTCGATAGGATTCTAGCCACCGCTGTCAGCAGCCAATGGTCATCGAGTCAGGCATGGGTCACACATAGCCGTGCATTGGACGGTGCGTAACCTGTAATGACGTACCGTTACGCACGCTAGATATTTTCTCACCTCGCTACCTTATCCATTGCGTCGGAGACTGCCTGCCTGTGAACGGACGTTCTTAGCAACGTCTAACGCCGACATTCTAACCAGCCTGTGTTGTACTCTTTACCGTTCAATCCCTGTATTGCAACATCAACACCCGTTTCACATTTCGCAAATGCCAAGCTACAGTTTGGTCTTCATCACTGATAGAAACATCAATACTCTAACATCAGCGGCCAATGCATCAGTCACATGCTCTAGTACCAAACGATAGTTACGGGTGCACGTAAGGACACTTATCGTCCTTGCAATCCGGGTGCAGGCACCAGAGGGGGTCAAGCTGTAAGTCGTCATAATCTGTGCGACGAGCCTGAAAACAACGGGCCCGAGCATATTGCGGGCACTTCCCACGGATAAGTACAGTAGTGCCACGTGTTAGTGCAGAGCCACGCGTCCGCAGCCTCACGCGGTGGTACTTCCCACCAGGCCATAGTGCCGAAGCATGAGCCAGCACGCCGGCTCCCATGCCGTTCTCCCCCCCAATGTGCGACTGCTGTTGGAACTTGTCTGGGATTTGGCCCGGAAGCTTGGCGTGCTTGAAATCAACGCGCCGCGTCTGGCGCGCCAAATCGGTTGTAAAATCCTTTGCAAAGCTGCACGTGTAATATGCCAACATGTGTTGGGTGTCAGCATTGGCTCAAGATGTCTAGAATGGACTTAGGAAGCGCAAATCGAGGCCCATTGACGGACAGCGCAAAATATGGCAACGAGCATTAACACAGCTGCTCAATGTCGGCCTACTTACCACCCATCCTTCTGAATGTGCAAAATCCATGAGGTAACGCCGATAGTCACTCCTCGGAGGCTCCGATGCAGCCAGCTCCTCATTCGCCTTCGCATACACGTTGATACCTCGTACCCCGCCCGCCGCGCCGCGAGCTCGATAAATGCCTGCGCTCTTTCACGAACAGATGCAGGGTCGCGCTCATCGTGGAAGACCGCCTCTATCACCCGCAGGTCAATGTACGGAATTTCTGCGCCGTCGTCCATGCCACGAAAGCACCGGAGCGCGTCTTCCGCCCAGCGCCGAAGCTTGTGTGCGTGCGCGCGGCTTGTAGTAACCAGATGCTCAATGCTATCTGCCAGTTTTTTTGGGTGTCACCTGCTCCTCTTTGGCCAGCAAGCGCATGTATTCAGCTTGCATCCACAAGCGGCAATGTCGGGGTAGTCCCGAACAAAAACGTGAATGTTACCAGGCCTTGTTTTCGCGGTCCGTGAGCGAGGCCACTCCGGACCCTGGTAGCGACTACGTTTCCGTGCCATCCAGTCACGTGCGCTGCGCCAGCGACGCTATGGTTGTTCACAGTTTCTGACACGAATGCCGACGCAGAGGAGGCCATTTCGCAGAAAGGAGTTGCACTTAGAATGCGCGCAGAGATGTGTGCTATGAAATGTACAATGTGCCCGTTTGTGCACGCGCTGCATGATGTGCCCTGCTAGGACTCCAGTATTGCATGACGCGTTACAACCGTGTCACGCAACATAAAGGGGTGGCACCTTTAGGAAGCTGTTATCCTATATCAATAATGTATGGTTATTTTGCAGTAGACATTTGCATCGAAACAAATA